CACTGTACCCATTACTCCTTGTCCTTTCATTACTCTGTGTCTCCAATTTGAAGGCAAGGATGTCCTGTGAAACAGTGTCCAAAGCTTTGCATAAGTACAGGTAGACAGTGCCCATTGCTCTGCCCTTATCCACCAGTGCTCCCTTATCCACCAGCAGCTCCATCACTCTGTAAAGCCATGCTGGCTCTCTCCAGTCACCTCTTTGTTTTCCATGTGTCTTAGCATGGTTTCCAGGAGAATCTGCTTCATAAGCTTGCCTGGCAGATGAGACTTCTTTGTAGATCCCTAGATCTTCTGCTTTCCATTTTCAAAAATGGAGTTTATGTTTCCCTTTTTCCAGTCATCAAAGTCTTTAAAGTCATGCCCTCATGGATTGAGTGTTTTGTGACAGGTATCTACTTTTTCAGGCTGTCCATTTGTGACAGTTGCATGGCAGTTATTCCCTCCAGTATTTTAGAAAGAGAGTGCTCTTAAGATGTCACTTTAAATTAAAGCCAAGGTTTTGAACAAGATAATTTATTTATATTCTTGATTTAAATTTCAGTAGCCTGCTGAGACTAAATTTACTCAGCCTGTCTTCTCCAGCACAAAGTTAATTTTACTAACTGCATGAAATGTCTGTAAGATACGGAAAACTGTTTTGGCTTACAGGTAAAAGGTGCTTGTGCAAGTTGGATACTGAATGAAAGATCTTACCCTGTCTGTCACCCATCTTCTGTCTGAGGTTGTTTTTGCAGTAGCTTCCAGAGAATGCTCTTACTGCCTTAAGCACCTTGAAAGCAATTTTTTCTTAGGTTCTAGAAGGATGGGCAAGATAGCAAGAGGTGATTGTACTCTTTCTGAGTTTTTTTTGGTGCCTTTTGAGTTAGTTTAAAGGAATGGCTAATTTTTTTTTCTGAAAGGTATTTATTAATATGATGAGTAACTAGTGCCTATGTTAAGCAGGAGGACAGATGGTATTTTCTTCCTTCATTCTTGAAAAGTTAAGCAAATTAATTCCCAAGCTGACATTCAGATTTTCAAAAGACACTATCAACATAAAGAGGAAGGGATCTTAAGTACTAAGTTTTTTATAGAAGCCACAGAAAAATATATTATACCTCTCCCTTTTTTGAGATGCCTGTAAAACAGGCAAGAATTGTTTAGTGTGCCCTGTGAAACAGATGTACTAACTTTTTTGAATTCTTGGTGATGCATTATTTTCCAAGTATAATTTTGCATAATGTTGGGTTCTCTTGGAGAGTAAAGCTGGTGAGGATAAAGCTGGTAAGAGCAGTGATGAAGAAATTAACACAGAAAAGATAGAAAGATACTGATATTAAGGAGAGGACTCAAAGCTTTCTGCTAGACCTCCAGTTCTATTATTTAAAATAAAAGCAGAAATCAGTTTCCTGTTTTTACTGACTTAAATTTTTAAAATTTCAAACAGCAGGTCTTTGACCCCATCAAGGCAACTCTTTTACTCCTCTCAATTTTGAACAGCTGAACAAGATCAGCTGGGTCTTTAGTTGCCTGGAGCATGTTCAAAGAAGACTCAGGAAGAAAAGCTCTGCCCCCAAGAAACACTGAAGGGTCACAATTTTTTCTGTGGTTCAAATCCTTTGTAAATGCTCAAAGGCTGTAGCATTTGCTGAGGGAATGGTGCATTGGCAGATAAGCCAGTGTTAAGTTAGTGTAACAGTTTGTGAGATTTGCTGAAATTCAAGCTTTTGAAGCAGGAGTCTTCAGTTACAGATAGAAATGAAACTTTATTTTATGTGTTGCTTCCTACTTCTGATGGCTTGGAAATTAAGTCCCCAAACTCCTTCGCACTTACAAAGAACAGATACACTAATTTCAGTGTCTTGGCTGAATCCCAGTGAGTAATTGCATTCAGATTATCTAAATTTCTCTCTAGTTTGACTTGATTGAGATAGTTTCCATCTTCTTTCTTTTTATTTTTGTGAGCAATATTAAACTGGCTGCTGTTTTTTCAACTTGTCATTTCTGTATTTTGATGGAAATTGATATTATTCCAAAGTGTGCATATGATTTCCAAATTACTTTGAAGCAAAAACAAACAAGTTGTTGTATTGTGGTATCTGTCATTTTATGGAGAAGCGCTTCTAAAATGTCATAATTGTTATTTTGAAATGTACTTAAACAGGGTATTTTTGTATACTCATTTTGAACTGAGATTTTGAAGTCTGGTGTAGGAGGCAGATAGTCTGATTTTGTTTAAGTTAACTGTATGAATATTTCTGTAAATTCGAACTAAATTTGTTCAGCTGGATTTGAGATACACAGGTGACAGATAAAGAAATAATGCACATAGATAATGCAGAAACTTGGATGAGATTGTTGCAACATAGTATCTGAAACTATTAACTGCACAAAAGGCAGTGCAAGTTTAGACCTCTTGGGGAAAAATGAAATAAGTCATCTTCCTGCCCGATCAAGTCTGAGGACATTTAAATATTTCATATGTCTAGGCATTTTTTCCAAGAAGATATCTTCCTGTGTCTGAAATATTTAGTAACTATGCTAATTTGTTTTGGTTTCTGTATTGTTTCTGCTTTGTTTTACCATTCAGTTTATGCTCTGAGTGGGTGGAGTATTGTATGTTTTATTGGTTCAGTAAATGTATCTAGTTTCAGATGGGAGCTTTGATGAGTCTGCCCAATTTGCAGTAGACAAAGACTACCCTGACTGTATTTCAGGTGACTAGGGATGATTTATTTAGGTTGTGCTACTTTAAAGAGTAGGGTAAAATGCATGCTGAAAGAAGCCTAAGACAAACTGTAGCTGGCAGTTGTCTTGATCAAGCATTCTTCCTCTGATCTCCACCCCTCTCTCTGGTATTTTAATCTTATCCCAAGGAAGATGTAATTTTTCAGAAAAATGGTTGGGGACACTTGTTTCCATCCTTTCTCTTTCGACTCACGAAAGAAGAAACTTAGTTGCTGCTGCTGTTGCTATAAAGTTGCCCTTTTGTGCCTTGCCGGTTGTTTGAGAGCTGCAGTTACACAGGTTTTGGCTCCATGGTTGTGTGGCAGTGTGCAGGCCTCTTCTCTTTATAGAAGTTGTCTTGCAGTCATTGATAGGTTTTCTTTTTCTGGAATGTTGATTATTTCAAGTGTTTTTCAGTATGAGACCCAAGGAATGAAGTGTAGAAAGCAGCAGACAGAACTATTCCTAACTCGTAGGAAAAAAAAGCCTCATGGCGCTGTCCAAAGAGGGGGAAGCCAGTGGGCCTGCAGGTGCTCCACCAGGGGTTTTAGCCTCTGGAGAGATACTCCAGGAAGAATGTAGCTTTCAGCTGTTGAGAAAAAGTGTGAATATATGTCTGCTTTGCTGCTCAAGACATGTCTTGGAGAAGTGATGGACTGAGTTCACTCTGTTTTTTGATACCTAGGTAGAAGTTTCTAAGTAGGGACCATTTCTTCCAGCATAGTTTTCTGTATACTTCAAATAACTAGGCTTCCTATGCTGCTGTGGTGAAGACATGGTCGGAGAGAGAAGGCATAAAACCAAAGAAAACCTTGAGGAATAACAAATGAAAATACTATCTTCTTTTTCTTTTCATTACCTACACTGATGTCTACATTCTACATTTTTTTTCCTCTGAAGTAATTTTACTCTTTTCTGGTTTTTCCATGCCAAATTGAAGAAGATAGGCAAGAAAAGATTAATTTTTCTGAATTTTCCTATATTTGAATAAATTGACTTTTTATAGCTAACTTGCTTGTCCTTTCCAGAATGCCTTTTGCTCTTTTCTTGTTTCCTTTTTTTATTTTACTATTTTTAATTTCATTTAAATTGGGACAAGTAAGGCAGTGGAATTTCATCTTACTTATTTATGTCTCTTCAGCAGTCTGGAATTTTTCCTTTTATAAATAGGATACCTTGAACTTTAAGGCATGGGTAATTGCTTGCAAGAGATATGAAGGAAAATAAAATATTTCAAATAAAAGGAAAAACGAGAAAAGTGGAGGAGGAAAGTATTGAATAAAGTGAGGAATGGCGAAAGACTTCTGGCAGGCAAAATGGGAACAATATTATGGCCATGGGGCAATCACTTACTCATTTTTTCAAGGAGCAGAAAAATAAAAGACAATTCATGGGATGAGTTTAAAAAAAAAGAAAATTAACTTGCTCTTTTATAATGATGTGTCTGGGTTTTTTGTATTGCACTACAATGTTGTTGGAAAAAGAACTGAGAATTTTTGTTTAAGAATATTGACAATATTGCTAAAACATTATTTGTTTTGCAAATTGCATTTCAGATATATGTGGAGATGGAAATCTTAGGAATACAGGAATAATATCTGAATTTTCACACAGAGTCAAGTAGTGTAAATTGGGTGTTGTTTCAACCACTGTTTAAAAACTTGGTAAAAGCTTTTGGAGCTGTTGGTTGAATTAAATTTCCTTTTCTTAAAATCCTTTAATTTTCAAGATAGTGTAAAGTGGTAATCGCTTCAGGCAGAGCCAGTAAATTATTTTCAGACAAGATTCCGAATAGTTCTAATCAATCTAATAAACCTAATTCGTTGTGTGAATAAATAGTTTCTAGAAGTCTGAGATTCAGAACTTTGACAAATAATATTTTGCCAGGATATAAAATGTTAATGACTATGTGGCCATTGTAGCTTGCATGTGTGTGTGTGTTTAGAGTAATAAAAAAAAGCATAAGTGAATAAATCTATTTTTGCTATAGCATATATATACGACAACTGAAATCAGTTGCTGAAATTTCACTTAGTCTTTCTCTAACAAAAAATTGTATTTCCTTTGCACATTCATACAGTTACAGTTTTGCAGTTTTTATTTGTGATGGTGGCTCACATGTATTACACTGAACAGTAGCATGGCAATGGCATTTGGAAGACCAAAAAGAAAAAAGAAAAGAAGATGAGTGAACACAGAGGGAAAGGGGATGTGTTTTGCTCGGTATAGAGAATAGGTATCTCATGTGTTATCCTGGCCCGTTTATTTTACTAGAGTTTGCTATTTTTCAGGTGCAGTTAAAACCCAGTATTTCAAGTCAATATGTAATTCGTACACAACCAACAAACACCTGTCTGTCTACTCTTGAATGTGCAGCTGTTGCTCTTTCCATCATGGAAAAAAATAAGAGTATACAAGAGGTATGTAAACTTAAATACCTGAGTTTTTCTTTTATGAATGGTACAGGGGCAGCAAAGGTACTTCGCTATTAATGTAAAACTTGACAGTTAAAATCTTAATGACATTTGTAATAGTTTTGTTGCATAGCAAACTAAAACAAGAATGCAGCAATGGATACCATTTTTCATTTATTAACTCTGGAGCGTTCAAATTACTGTGACTCTTTCACGTTGTGCTCCAACAGCGAACACAACAAAGTGATCTTTAACTCTGAAAAACATAATTAATTTTGTGACGGGAGATAAGGTATGTTACTGCATGGAAAGAGGTAAATTGTTTTCTCCAAAAACTAGACAGCAGAGATGATCTGAATACCTTCTTACAGCTATCTTGAAGATTAAATGCTTTTTTAAGCCAGGTCCTCTGATCTCCTGCATTCCTCAGTCATGGAATGTAACCCACTGGGTTATGTCTGCCTACCAGCTGACTCACAACTCTTACATGTCACTGGAGGAATTTGGGACTTAATAGTTCTTGAGTTTAAGTTTATCCCAGGTCAGAGAATACTAATTGGACATTAGCCTTTCCTTGTAAATTGTGATCCCACTAGTCTGTGATGGAAGAGGTCATTAAAAAAATGTCCTTCTTAATCTTTTGTTGCTGACATTAGTAATATCAATTTAATAAGCCCTCTGAAAAACACCTACAAGTACTTTTACACCACTGACCCAAGTCTGCAATTCAACTGTGTGCCCAGAATTCAGTAGTGAATGATCTGTGAAAAAAGATTTAAAGCCCATCCGTGTACCCCCTACATGCTAGTCTTCACCCTGGAGTGCTCATACTGCTCTCCATCAGCTAGCTAATATTTTTGTATATTAGCTATGAAACATTTGCCTACTAAAAAAGGTGCCGAGGTCAAAAATTGCTCCTGCAGCTGGGATAACATATAGTATGCCATCTCTGTGTCTGCCTCTGTGACACTAGACTCACTGTAACATTAAATTAATTGGATATAAACCCCAGATTTGGACAAAGTGTATGGACACACAAGAGAATAAGGCTCAGAAATTGGAACTCCAGGTAAAGATGGTTTTTAAGAACTTGTGTATATTTGTGGGGTTTTATATTTACCTTTCCTTTGTTGTGCTAGGACAACATATTTTTCCTTCACTAGAACTTCTGTCTTACAGTGAATGCTTAGTTAATGTCTATAGTTACCAGTCTTATATTCTGAGTCACCCCTACCAATGAGAATTGGCCCAGCCTACTTTTCAAAGACAAAATTTCTGTTTTCTCTAAGCATTGCAGTAGCCTAGAGCTACATTAATGCATTCTTTGTACCGTCTCTGAACTGAGTGCTATTCCCAGCATATGACACAGTGAACTGAAGTTGAGAGCCATGGAAATTAAAACCCTGCTGGTTTGGTAACCGGTATGTCACTTAATTTTCCTGTGTGCTCTTAAGAGTCATATTTTTCTCAGTAGAATCTCAACTCCTGCTGACTGCAGTTACACATGTGATTGCTTTACACCTTTACATCTGCACATGGGGCCCCCCTGACTTAGCCAGGCAACCAGAAAATGAAGAGTCTACAGTTAGGGACCACTTAAGATACATTTGGTTTGTGTGGCTTCATTAATCCTATGCAATACCTCTGGGCAGAAGCAGGGACACAGTCGTGTCTCCAGGATTGCAGTCCAGGTACCTTGATCGTGAGTCCCTCCTCTCTTCCTAAAACCCTGCCTCAAGAGATTTTTGTGCAAGCACAAGCAGCTTAGTTATTGTGACTTATTTTATTGCAGCTTGTTGACCAAGCCACAGTAATTGATTGTAGTCCATTGCTGAGGTCAACTCAAAGCCATAACTTACAGTAATGTGGCTGGGGCTGAAGTCAAGATTGAGTGGTTCCAAAGGAAGGAGTGAGGGATGGCACCATGCAGGTCATGTATGACTGCTCTGTGATTCTTTTCAGTACATCTTCTGTTCAGGTCCACCTTTTGTGTCTCCAAAGGGTATATTTTAACAGCATTTATCATCCAAATTGTATTTTATTAGCATTTTAAAGTAGTCATTGAATTAAAAAAATGGTAATAATTGATGTCTCTAAAATACCTTTCTAAAAGCTTGGGGTTCTTTTGTCCCCCACCCCTTCATGTTTCTGCAGACTATACTCCATCCACTTCAAGCTTTATGCTCTTTCCAACTTCAGCATGGTGCCCAGATCCATCACAGCAAGGAACATCTTCTCAAAAATGGCTTATATGACAAGCCCATGCCAAAGAATAAACGCAAACTCAGAAGAATGGAGCTTCTGGTGAATAATGTTAAAATATAAGAAAGCTGTACTGACTGTACAGAGGGATTTATTTGCAGCTAGCAAATGAATATGAATCTGGATTTGATCCAAACAGTTGACTATACTCTAATAAAACACCTTTTAGGTTCTTCTTAGGCAAGAGTTTATCTACCAGTGTGACAAACAGTAACGGACAAGCTTTTTCATTTGTGCACTAACCCAGGTGCCTTTGTTCAGATGATGGAGGAGCATTCTCATTTCCTGTAGAGAAGAGGAAGAAAACTGAACATAATTTAGACTTATGTTATTGCTTGGGTGTCAGATATGATCCTCAGTATGACTGGATGAATTTATTTTGGAAAGACTTTTACCAGTACAAAAAGACAAGAAATATGAATATGGATGTGATAGAATGGTAAGGCCTCAGCAGTTAGAATTATGTTGAATATTACTGAGGTTTTTAGCTTCAGTATCTAACTACAGTAGACTTTCAAAGCGTAATTTCCGATATTCTTTAGTTCAGATGAACATAAGGCATGTTATTTGGACAGTTCTTTCTAACTTTGAGATTTTTATTTCTTCTATAATTAGAACTCCTTTTTGTAAATTTACTTATTTTTTTACAATGCAGTCAAGTTTAGTTTCTCCCAGAATTAATTTTTAAATGAAGTCTGCATATGTTTTTACAAGAAATTGACCAATTCTGACTTAGGAAAAGAAAAGTAGAAATCGTGATTTTTGGAATTATAACTCAGGTGCTTTGCTTTTATTTGAGCAAAAATTAGTCTTCCACAGATGGGGAGATGCTGTGGATGTAAATACATCATACCCATACTCTGACATACAATGATTATGCTACTAAAGGAATTAAACAAGCCCAGTGCAAACTGCTCTGTAAGAAGTATGATGCAATGACAAATGATTATATCTGGTTACAGCCAACTAACATAATTATAGATCCTCTAGGCTTCATGTGTTTAGTTTTTCACTTCTAACAATGGTATAAATGTACTTCTTTCTAATGGGAATTGCTAGAAGCAGAAGAATTGGGTATTTTTACAGGCTTTCTGAAATAATATTTTATGATCTGGAGGGAAAAGTAAAGTGAAGTAAAGGTTCTGATAGTCCTTTCTTCTACATAGATGCCTCCTGCATTTAAGAGATTAAAATGCTTAATTGTTTGTCTTTACTGTCAGTTCCCCTCTAGGTAACAACATGAAGCTAATTGGGTACTAATTAGTCTTAGAAAAAGATATTTTGTCTTTACTTTATGATCTGTAAGACAAGAAACTACAGGAGTGTGGTGGAGGTGGGATGAGGGTATGTGTAAGCACAACTAAATGAAAGCTTTTCTGCAATTAATAAGAGAGGTCAAAATTAGGCCAGAGATTAGCTAAGAAGTTTTAGTTGACCCTGAGCTAATAGTGACCTTTTGTTTAGGCACAGATAAACAATGTAATTTGTCTGGCTGTGTGAGCAAAGCTTATATAACCTTTTCCTTTTCTCCCGGTCTAGATAAATCCGGTGTCTGTCACTAAATTCAGCAAAGCTGAATTAGTTTTGACAAATCTGAAGCAAACCAGTCTCATATGATTAATGATAGCATAGATGCACTTTTGTTCACATTGGAATAGAGCAAGGGCATGTTTATTCCTGTAGCACACCAATCTCCAGGCTAACTTGGAGTCTGAAGTTGGAGTCTTGTGTAATTTGTGTGCAGAACCTTGTGTGGGATGCTGTGTCCACTTACCTGCTAGACTGGTAATCTTCCTTCCCTGTGCCCTGGGACATGGTCAATAACTCCTTGAGGAAACATGGGTATCAATTAAGCTTTATTGTTCATGTCATATTTACATACATGGATGATGTTTGCATTTGATGTTGTATACGTTAATTTAATTTAGCTAATTTTAAATTGATCTCCAGAAGCAGTGTATCTTTTGACTTACATTTTGAAGTTTATTTTACCAGGCAGAAGATTTTAGGTGTCTTTACATAATATGTGAGTTTATATTATAGGGAACAGAAAGAAATTTGTATTACAGCCTGGGATTCATAGCCATCTGCAAAATGCCTTAGAATTACAGGATCAGAGAGATAGTTGCCTTAATTGAGTTATAATCCTATGTTAAATGCTCTTGTACGTGGAATCTGTGCAGAGTTTTCATGTTTTTCAGCAATGGAGACATTCTGCACATCATACAGAAGGCACTTTTTTGCTTTGTTGATTCCTCAGTTCTTTTAATTTTGCTCCTGTGGATAACAGGATTTTGTAGGATCTTATGCTGGATGCATGGAAGCCTTTAATTGCTAATTTCCTCTGTTGTACAATACCAGATCAATCAATATGCAACTGTTACTGAAAAAATTAAAAACAATGCATTCCAAACCTCCAGGCATTTTAATTTTTTGAGGTTTTTTGTATGTCCCAGCTATAATGTAATGGGCATTTAGGTGCAGCACAGCAGTCACATGAAGTTCAGTTTCAGATTTGTTTGAAGCTATTAGACACAAAATACCGTACTTTTTAGGTGGGATTTGCATAATTTTGAAAATATGCACAGGGTAAGAGGAAGAATTTAGAAAGTTTGTTTTCAGATCTTTTGGATTCAGAATTTGCCAATAAATACATTACCTCAAAGAAATGAATACTCTGAAGTCCAAACTCTTGACAGAAGCTATGTGTGATGAAGTAGCACTCTTTGTAAGCAATTTCATTAGAATAAATTTAATTTGCAATTTTACTTGGCTGTAATGGTAAATCCATTTCATTTTTCCCTTACCAAAAGATTAATGAGTGAAACCCACCAGTCTAACAAGATATTGATTAAAAATGAAGGAATGTGTTTGCTTCTCATGTTTGGTCCTTTGTCCTTGTCCACTTTGTACTTCCAAATATCGCTATTCCAAAATGAAATCTGCTTTCTGTGTGCTGCAGTCTCATGTGTTGGGAAATTGGTGGCATGGATAGCAGGCTTTTGAACACATGCAAATGTTTTTCAAAGGTGCACACCATATTTTCATAGTCAGTATGAGTAAGTCTATGGAAAAAAGACAAGGATGGAAGTGTTATAAAATAAGAACACAAACCACACCTCCCCTTTTGATTAGAATACTTTCTTATTAAAGAGATGCTCAGGACAAATATAAATTTATTTTTCTTCAGCATAGTAATTTTGTTGCCTCATAACTCCAATAAACTCCTCATACTACCAATAAATTACTCTTTCATTAGTTTTTCTTGAGATAAAAAGGAAACTTTTCAAGTGACTTCAAAAGAGGCAAAAATTATTTTAAGACCAAGGGTTTTCTTCTCAACTGCTACACTAGATAAAAAGTTGCTTATGTTGCATTATTTTCTACAACTTCCCTGCTTGTTTTGAAATTTAATTAAAAAATGGACTTTTTAAAAGAGATAGTGGTTCATGCTTTTCTCTTGATGTTTGTGTGTTTTATGTCTATATACATGAATGCACATAAATTATATATTTGTTTCTGCCTCAAAGCAATAAAGTACCTAATTTACTGTGGTGTGTTCCACTGCATCTCTTCAGAACTGAATTTCTTCACATCTGCTGATATTAAAAATCCTAGTCCTTTTTTTTCTGTCTGTTTAACACCATTCAATCAGTTAATGAAGAGATACAGCTTTGTGTATGCTGTTTGAAGAAAAATGGTTCCTTTGTTATTCAGTGAAACCTGCATGAAGACTAAAGTGCTGTGGCAATTTCTCAGGCATTTCAGTTTCAGAGCCCTCTTCAGTCTTTCTGCAGTTGTGGCTGACTGCTGTTTGGTGCCATACAAGCATGCACATCTTCCCGCACTGAAACACCACCCAAGTGCTGCATCCCCAGCTCTGTCCCCTAGTAGGTGCAAGGAGAAGAAAACCAAAATGACAGAACTGTTTCTGTTCTTTTGCAGCCATTTCTTATCTCCCTTCTACAAAATGTGCACTTCAGGGACTTTCATATTGCTTTGGTTATGGGGTTTGTTCCTTGTATTCCAATTCACAATCCTTCCAGACTCCCAGCCGTGAGAGCTGCTGCTTTTGTCTCATAGGCACAGATAACAGACAAAAATAAAGAGGAGAGAAGAGTATGTGTTTTAAATAGGATGAGAGACTGTTGTGGTTTAACCCAAGCCAACAGCCAAGCCCCAGGCAGCCACTTGTTTGCTACTGCACCAGCAGGATCGGGAAGAGAACTAGAGAGGTAAAAGTAAGAAAACTCATGGATTGAGGTAAAGACAGGTAAATAGGGAAAACAAAAATTGTTCACAACAGCAAAGCAAAATAAAGAACTAATTCACTGCTTCCTGTGGGCAGGCAGGTGTTCAGCCATCTCCAGGAGAGCAGGGCCTCATCACGTGTAACAGACTTGGGAATACAAATGCCATCACTCTGAACATTCCTCTCTTCCTTCTTCCACTCGCTTTATGTGTCGAGCAGGATGTCATTCAGCCTGACATGACAGGCTGCATGTCTGTCAGGCAAATATCCCTTTGCCTGTAAGAATCTGCGAGTTGGGGTCACCTGTCCTGGCTGTGTCTCCTCCTGGGCTCCCATGCACCCCCAACTCCCTCACCAGTGTGACAGTACAAACAGCAGAAAAGGCCTTGGCCCTGCTCAGCAATAACAAACATCTCTGTGTTATCAGCCCTGTGTTCAGCACAAATCCAAAACACAGCCCATATTAGTCACTGTGGAAGGAAACGAACTCTACCACAGCCAAACAAGTACAGACACTTAGGTAAAAGTTGTTTCTGTTGTTAGGGTATGTCTGCTGTAAAGCTTGGTACTTGTCGCTGTGGCTTGGTGTTCCACTTAATACCAGGATTGTCCTGTTTATGAAGTATATCTTAGGTTAGCTGCCTTGGTTTAGTGGTTTAATATTTACTAAATATTTCTTTGAATTCCATTGTATTTCCTAAAAGATGCTAAGTACCTTTGTATGTGGGAAGGTACCTCTGTCAGTAAGCAGCAGCAGAATTGCTCTACCTATGGGACCATGGAAGCAGTAACAGCCTCAGTGGCTGTAACTGAAAGATTCTTTTGGACTTGAATGCTAAGATTTGCCCTCAGTGAAGAAAGATATTAAAGAGTATATACAAGTTACTTAAAGCACATGAAGACATACCAACTTCATGTGTTAGTGGAAGAGAACTACAAAAATATTTTGCAAATTAATAATGTAGAAACCATTTTCTGCTTATATACTTGAATGGAAATATAGATAATGTATTTACAAAATGCATTTTAATTTTAGAAGTTTATCACCATTCTGAAATATGTTTTAAAAGGAAAATTAAATTTCTATGAAACAAAAAGTCTTGATTTTAGTTGCTTGTTTTCCTTTTATTGATGACTCATATATATATGTGTGTAAAATGCGTAAATAAAAGTAAAAATAAATTTTTAGTGGCATTTTTATATGTTCTTTTTAAAGATATTTTAAATGGATGCACTGAGAAATGGGTCATATACTTGTAGTGATTAAGCATTTGCAGAATTGAGGTCATGTACATTACGTTTGATTTTTTCCATAATTACCAGCAGAAGGTAATGAGGAAAAAATTATACTGCTCTATATTAATGTTTCAGCTTATGGTGCTTCATTATACTTCAAGTAGTCCTCTAAGGGATTTTAAGTTCATCCAAAATCAAGTTCTCTGTTTTTTTCAGGCATTAGATAGGATGTCTTCAGTCAGTGCTAGATGTGCTGGTGTATGCCAAGTATGGAGTCAGTATTGTGGGGAATATTAGGTTCAAATGAAAAGTTCATTCATATAATTTTCCCTAGAAATATTATTTTCTAGGATTTTCTTTTTCACAGCAAATTAAATTCCATAGAGTAGTGCCTGGTTTGCTTTTTTGATGTTTTTTTCATGGGAGTTTAATAGAGCTGTACATAATTCGAATCTTACTAGTCATTCTGTTTCATTCTGAAATATATCAATAATGGACTAGTTAATGAAAGATGCTAGTAGTCAGGTATTTGCCAAAAACATTGAACAGTTATGGTCTGTGACCCTTGTCTTATCTAAAGACATTTTCTTTAATTTCTTTGAGCTGGCATTGGTCGTAGATGAAGTACGTACTTCAGTTATCTTGAAACTGTTGTGAGATTATCATTCTCTTGGCTTCATTCACCTGTGTCCTGCCAGACAGACAACATTTCTACCCTCTAGGGAGCTCTTACCTCCCTGTGATCAGTGAGAGTTTCTTTAGCCCAGCAAGCCGAACCTACACCTCAGCCTGCAAAACTAAATCCTCCCTGCCTGTTCAGCCAGCAATCGTGTTTCCTTTTGACCCTGTTGTCACTGTGGAATCATAGATGATATTTTGCAGAGCTATTCTGGTACTGTTGCGGCATTATGTGCTTTTGATATGAGAAAGGTGAACGTTGCTTTCTGTTGCAGTTACTGTTTACAGGGGATTTATCTGGAATGGAAAAAATAAAATGTCAGTATTGTCTGATAATAACAGACAAAATATGAAAGCGAACTTTTAAGGGCCAGATTTTACTCTTTACCTAAGAGATCCTAACAAGAGGTCCTTGCTTATATACCCTTCTCAAGAAGCGTGGAAAATCACAGCCCTTCTGTTGCAGAGAATAGAAAAACAGTTCTGTCTTTCTGTCTCTAGAGGCATGTATCACTTCAAAGATGGGGGAAAGGGTCATGACTATAGTGTAGCTCAAAACTGTAATGCTGAATATCACAGCTTTAAAAGTGAATCTGTGCATGGATGCAGCCTCTTCTTTAGGATATGTACTCTTTAAGGTTTTTAAGGACATCAAGAGAAATGTACTTAATAATCTCGCAAGAAACATTCACTTACCTGTCAGCATTGTTGACTTCAGACATAAATTGCTCTAAATTATTGCTGTTGTTTTCATAATGTGTGTATGAGAAGATGGTACTAAGTCAAAGTGATAATGAAGTTTGAGGAGAGGGAATTGAGTATTTCTGGTTCTTTTTTAAAGGTAGTTCTAAAATTCAGAAGCACAAGACAAATTGTTAGAGGAATTGAATTAGATGTGGAGAGCTGTATGAGTTACAGAATAAGAG